TATTCCTTCATGTCTGAACTTTTCATTCTACACCTTTAATTCCTTGGTTTACTCTCTCCTCAGTACACCAGAGTAAGACGGCCTCCAGAAAGCAAGCTGGCATACTCTCATTTGCCAGGTGAGAGGGCAATTCCCATTTTTTGTGAATTTGGCCCATGTGAGCAGAGCGTAGAATTATAATTTAAATAAAACTCAAAACATACCTGGCATTGATTTAATAAATGACAATATGTTTACCAAATATAAAGAACAAGTAGTTCACTTATAGGACTATAATTAGTATGACCTTTAATACAGTCAAGCCAAGTATTTTGGGGGCTCAACCAAAAAGAAGAAAATGACCAGAACAGGATGGAAAGTTTACAAGCCGGTCTGACCATCCCCGGACTTCCGGCCACTGCGATGCAGGGAACAGATGGGGAAGAGCCCAAGCTGCTGACTCCGCCTGCCCCTCTCCCTGTTTGGGGGTGGCTTAACATGGAGTCACCCCCCAGGTAGCCTAGGACTGGGAGTATGGGGCTTCAAGAAAAGACAAGGTCAAGAGGAAATGATTTCCACAGCAGAAAGACCCTGGAGTCCATTTCACTGCCATCACTGGTGTCTCACCGCACCGGGAAATGCCTGATCCAAGACATAAAGTGGTCAGAGTGACGTCAGTTTACCATGAACTAACCCCCCCCCCTTATCTGCCCTAAACAATATCATCCATAACCCTGTTGTGAACCCTTCCCTATTCCTACAAAGATAGAATCCTAAAGCTTTACTAATGGGGGAGTAAATAATCCACTACTGGGAGAATGCTGTGACCAACCACAGTTACAAGCACTGGACTGAATATTTTCTGTGGTTCTTTTCTCTGTCAGAAGCCTATGATTCTACATGGAGAAAAGCCCAGCTACCCGAGCTGTCCTGAATTACAGAAGCAAGATGCTGAGACCATCTTCTGCTTCACCTGAGTTGGGGGTGAGGGGGGAGGAAGGACCTGGGTCGCATACATTGCTCTCCTGTCAAGGCTGCTTTTGCTGGAAACTTGACTCACCAGAAAGTTGTCTAAACCACGCAACTTAACAGGGAAGCTTACAGCTCCAAATGTATTCCCATACTGCTAGAAATTCTGGCATTCACTTAAATTTTGAACTAACAAGCAAAACACACTGAGGAAAAACTGGAGGTGGGAGAGTGATTCTGGGTACTATTTCATGTAAAAAGAATTATTGTGTTAATAGGCCCATAAAGAGGCTTAAGGAAAAAAGTAAAGCATCATTTTGGAGGAGGGGATGTGTTGGTGGTATGGTTCTAGAGAATCAGAGGGCAGTATGAGGTCACTAGGCCACAGGGAGCAGATGGGCAAGATCTATGGTGTATGGACACCAAAGAACGTTTCATTTCTGCTATCTGGCTGAATTCCGGCTTTACCCCTTACTAAACCTACAAGTTCCTGCTGCAATTCAAATTCTAGGTCTTCAATTCATCTATTTCTCGGAAATTGAAATGAGAAAGAATGACCGGAGGATGCGTTGTATGCATTAGTTAAGGGTTACAATCCACTTACTACGGGGCTGGGGGGCAGTCTTGCTCAACACTCTTAACTAGTTTTGGCGCAAAGAACAATCAAGGTTGATTCTATTCCTTTAAGCATCCAAGCGCCGAACAGAAAGGAAGTACCAGAAGTGGGGTTTCACACTAAGCATCCTGGATACCGAACGCAAGCATGCCGAGGATCAAATACCATTTTTCAAAACATCACTCTACTCCAGCTTTGAGAACGAAATGAATAATAACTCTGGGAAGAGCAGTCATAATCATCAACTATAAACAGAGGTTTATACCGTAAAATACGAAGAATACAAGCAATTTTTTTTTTTTTTTTAAACGGGAGTTTACTCTGGCCTTCTCCCTGACATGCAAGCCTCAGTGTGCAGCGATCCTGTGGCTGGACAAGCGGGGAGAACACTGACTCGGACTGGTGGGGGGTGGAAGGCGAGCAGAAGGCCAAGGAAACATTTAAGCCACACTGGATTCCTGGACAAGAAAGAAAGCTAAAGGGAATGCAGGAAGGGAGGCGAACAGCCTATTACGAATAAGCAAACAATAACCAGTGTTACTGAGGGCTCTACACACCTTGTTTCTTTAAATTCGCACACAACCTCTGGGGCAGTACCACTATTACTATTATCCTCGCTCTTCTGATGAGCAAACTGGGGCTCACCTAATGGAAAGGTTAGGGAGCTCGCTCCCAACCATACACCCAGAAAGTGGTCGAGGCAGCATCTGAGTCCACTTACGCACTTAACCAATAAACTGGAAGAAGAGAACTCAGGAAGCAAATGAAGGAAAAACCAGGCTTTTTAAAAGCTAAAGCCTGATTCATAAAGATTCAGCATGTGTCAACTCAACTCCTTTTCCCTTTATGATAGGAGTTCCTTTGTGCTGGTTTGAAACCCAGTGTTACATGTGAACTGCACTTAGGCTGAGTGCTAGCGGGTGAAGGACAAGAAAGCTTTCTCCCGGAGGAAACTGAAGGCAGGAGGCTTCTTCACTAGAGGCAACAGCCAAGAGAGCAGAGACAAGGCGGGCGGCGGACAGCGCACATTCCTACAGCCCTTGGGTTGAGCAGAACGAAACTGTCAAAATACATACAACTTCTAGGTTCTACATTCATTGTTTTTGTGGGAGAAAAGGGAATGCAGAGAAGAGTTTGTTAGAAAAAAAATGGAATGTTTTCTATCTAGTGGAAGGAAGTTCAAATAAATTATTTGAACTCAAGTTCAAATTCTCTCTCAAGTGAAAGATGTTTCTATGAACATACTATATTGAATATTTTAGGACAGTGAGACATACAGTAGATTATAACATGAAATACAATTATACCTTAAGACAGTCCTTTTTATTGCACTATAGAATTAACTAGAACTGTCTCAAGAATAATGAAATAGCTTCCATTCAGAATGGAAAGGAGTACACTTCGGTATAATATTTCAAAGAGAAAAAAAAATCACTTAAAAATTTTTAAAAAAATCTAGACCAAGAGTTTTCTTAAGTGGACAATTATACGAAATACTTTTCTGAATATAAGAATTATGTTTAGCAAAACACAAAAAATCAGACATACAAAAATTTCCCTGGTTGAAAAACTGGTGCTATGTAGAACATTTGCATTTGAAACCATTTTATTTTCCAGTTTCTAGAAAGGTTATATGTTCGACATGACAAGGATTTTTAATGTAGAATTTAATGTGGAATAGAGAGAATGTGTACATTTGGTATTTCAGTAAACAGAATGAATAATATACATTAGGGACTTCTAAGTTATCAAATGGATATTATTAATTTAGGAGAGAAAATGGTAGTGCAGTCAATTTATAGTGCATGTAGCACATATGTTAACGAAATCATTTCCACATTGTAAGTGAAATCCTGTCAGCATTAAAAACTGATTTTTACTCAGATATTATGATTTGATTTTACCACCGGAAGTTTACTTCAAACAGAGAAAAATGGCAAAGTGCCGAAAAGGGGAATGTGAAATAGAAATCACCATGAAATATAAAAATGAGCATTTTTATAAACATATGTGTATAGTTACAATAATCAAATAAGCCTTCCAGTCTTCAGAATTGTTGCAAAGAAAGGAAACAAAGATTCTCTGATGGCCAAAGCATTTTTCAAAGTACATTTTCACTTTCTGATGTTTAATAAAGATAAACTCTTCATTATATTTCAGATAAGAAAGAAGCAAATTTTGTCTCACAAATAAATTACCAGGTATGATATTTCTAAAACTGACTGCATTACTAGGCAAAATTCTTCAATTCAATTCACTGATGTCTTTTACTGAAGGATGCATTGGTTTGAAAATCAAAGACTTACGTCATCCAAAAAATCAATCAGTGAAGATGAGGAAGAAGAAAAGGAATCCTATTTAACGAATACAGCAATAAAAAATAGAAAATATGGATGAAGCAATTTAATAAGAACAAATAATAAATCAAAAATTTTGTAAAACAATTGAAAGGCAAATGACATTAATTCAAATAAATAAATGAGAAAAGCAGTCATTGGCATCGTTTGTCAAGAAACTTAGAAATCCATTAATTACTTTTAAAAGCGTGGTTCTTTTTCCCTTTCCCAAAGGAATGAGATATAATGCATACATTGTGCCCAAAATACAGTAAGATGAAGCGCATGGCAAATCATTAATACTCAAATAAACGAAGCACTTTAGAAGGGTAATAATTACAAGTGAGTAGCAGAATCTCTTGGCCTCTAGCTGTTCCCACTGGCACGTAACCTCACTGAGAACAGGACTTGGTGAATTTGGTCACTACTCTATCTCCAATCCAGCACCTAGACCAGTGCTCTGCATAGAGACTTGTGATTATTTGTTTAACAAAGATATAATCACTAACTTGAATTTTCTGAGACAAAAATATACTTTATATCAGAAAATTGGTTTTTTTCCCCTTAAAGCATTTAAGCCCCAAAGAAGGATAGTCATAGAGTCACTATTTCGATTATTATGGAATATACTGCCTAATACACTCTATGTAATACTTTTAACAAAAAGTATTTCTATTGTAAACTTCTAAAATAATTGAACTGATTTGGAGCTAGACCCAGCATTGCCCTATTGTGAGATTTGACCTTTTTCACTTTTTTTTTTTAAATTGCAGCTCTATGCTTGGGACAAAAAAGAAAAGTGTCAAAATTATTTCAAGTGTTCGGATTTGTTCTGCAAACACTCGGGAAGAGATGAAATTTCTTTTAAATGTTACAACTCCCATATTTAGATCTTTCTTAAATTTTTCTTAGATACAAATGTGATTATAGTTTCTATAAGAATGCAGAACATACTCTTTTCCTAACACGTTTTTGTTTATATAAGATTCTAGGTCCTTTTATGTGGGAGGCAATAAAACAGTTTCATTGCGAATGAATTTCAAATCATAAAGTGAATTTTAAATGGACTGCAGGGAATACTTGAAAAGCTTAATACTTACTTCAAATTGATCCAGAGCATCGGTAGGCGTATTCAAAAATGCCAAGAAAGAATGCTGTGAGTCTTGGTGCTCTATACCTAGAAGACAGCAGCAACTTTTTTTTAAAACTAGAACAATTTAAACTAATTCTAATGGATAACCTTTCCTGTCTGAGTCTATTAAGAGCTGTTCACAAGCTACCATATTTTAAAGTTGATCAATGCTATTAACTCTACATGTTTAATAAACTATATTACTGTTTTTTGGAATATCACTTAACAGTTATATCAGTCTCCAGGACATACTTGTTTCCCGACTTGAGGTCTTGAATTTCTTTCTTTTCCCATATAGCACATCATAAGAAACACAGTAAATCCTGGTAGACTTGGGAGAATTTTAAAAACATGGTTATGTCTGATTTTTCTCAGCTAATTTATCACCAAACAAGGTTTCTGTTTTGAAAAACTCTTAGCAAACATATAGTATGTACTAATATAAATAATCTCTTATAATAATGTAGTGATAAAACAAATGTATTTAGTTATGAAAAAACATTTGTCAAGGCCTCAGTTTGATTTCAGGTATTGTTTTATTGATAGAATAAATCACTCATACCCTAGTTTTTCTCAGATAAAGTTCTAAAAGTTGATGCCTATTTGCTGGTTATGGTATTAACTTCAAATGCATAATTTCCAAAATAATTCTTAAAATATGTATACAATGATAAACACTAACAAGGAAAAAGCAGAAACAACCAAGCACCCATTTTTGATTTCATATCCTCAGGAAGTGACATCAGCTAATTTGTGTGGCTTTCATACTACTCTCTATTAACAAACATCACAGATGCCAGATGAGGCACTATGTTCAGAAATTCATCCAGTCAATAAATATTTACTGAGAGCCTATTATGTGCCAAAACCTTGTCTAGATACCAGGATATATTAGTAAACACAGCAGAAAAAAATATCCTTGCCTTCATTATATAAATATGATATATTTAAATAGTATAGTACATTATGTTACAACATAAAGTAAAACTTTATTATTCTACAATGTTCTAAATCCAAATAAAAGTTATAGGTTAACATGCTTTCATAAAGCACTTAAGTTATTTCTTCTGCAAGTTTAGATCTGTTCTAAAAATGATGCAGTCAGTAACATGAGGCGTGTTAGTCACACTCTGCACTTATCTCTCTTCTGTATAAACTGCCTTTAGGGCTACGGGTCCTCCAGGTCTTACATATTCTTTTTCCTCTACACCTTAAATAATGCAGCTCCCTTCCACTCTTCATGTTTGAAAACTCTGCTTGATTCTCAATTTAATGTGAAGCCTTGTGCTCAGTGTGAGTTCCTAATTCACTTCTGCTAGGTTCCTTCCTTTCCTGTTCACCAGAAAATTCAACAGACAAAAATTTTTTGAACATCTACTACTTTTAAGGGTTTTTCATGTCAACTGGTTTATGTGATACCCTCTCTTTCCCCCACAATTTTATTTTTTCTCCACAATTTTTAAAAGCAGATGCAGAGACCCAACAAGCTAGACATCACTGTGTCACAGGACTGAGAAATAGGGGAGCATCACATAATGTATGCATAACGTAAAGCCATTAATTAGTTCACTATTCAGTCAGGAATACTGACTTTGTCAGGACAATGAATTTCTTTCTTTCCTTTTTTTTTTTTTTTTTTTTAAAGTAGGTTCCATGACCAGCATGGAGCCCAATGCAGGGCTTGAACTCACGACCTGAGATCAAGAGTAAGACGCTCAACAGACTGAGCCACCCAGGCACCCCAGGACTATGAATTTCTAATAACTGCCTATGAGAGATCCCTTCATTGAGAAAACAACATTCTGAATTTCTTTTTATTAAATCTTCATGTTCTTAATGCCCACATTATGGAAAGGAAGTTTAAGAAGTTCCTGTAACAGCCGCCACGCACTTTGAGTTACTTTTCACATTGATGGAAACATGCTCAGGTAATGCTTTCAAGAAAATGGGAATAAATCCTGAGAAATCCCGGAGGGCAGGCGGTTTAAGAATCAAACGTGGAAGAAAACAATGAAGTGCCAGAACAGTCCGTCACTGAATTGCCTTCTAACACAGGATTAGATTAATCTTTAGTTACTTCATACATTGTTTTCTCAACTACCCTGGAAGTGAATCCTACACCATTTGAAAAAGAGTATAAAGTATAAAGAAATAGTTTTTTTTTTCCAATCACAAAAATCTTATTTGTGAAATTATCCATGGCACTGAAAAAAAAAAAAAAACAGTCCAATTTATGGCAAAGTAAGTTTTTCTGTTCCTATCAAATCTTTAAGCCAGGTATATTAAGTACAACAGAAGGACTCTGAGACCAGTCTAGCGAGAGTGAGTGTCACATACGCATACACATATCCATCAGTGAGTACCAGCGTGGTTAGTGTGAACAATTCTCCGACCTCCACGTATGCAGATGCTCGGGTAATAAAATATATTCACAACAGAAAAAGCCCTGATTGATGCAAAACACATTCTCATACCCTTTTCAGATCTAAGCTCTTCAGTGTCCTTTATCAGTTGTTCGATTTCTGAGAGTAGCTCCAAGTTCTTCTTCTCTGAATCTTTCAGTTTACTTCAGTAAGGGAAAAAAAGGAAAAACGTCATTATTCTTACTGCTGGTTAGTGAGCCATCCTACAGTACGTAGTCAGAGCTTCCTGGTTTAGTCAGCCCCATCAAGTCAGGGAAGTCAAGCCACCGCAGGAAAGACAAGTCCCGCTGGTCACCTACTGCTGCACAAACCAACTTCTACCACAACAAGCCAGACTCATTCACTCACAGACCGTCTCTGGCTGCTTTTGCACAACAGCGCAGTTGAGTGGGCAGAGACAATATGGTCCGCAAAGATGAAAATATTTAGTATCTGGCCTTTTACAGAAAAAGATGCTGACTCGGAGCTAAATGATTTGATCTTAAAATGTCATAAAATCAGAGGTTAAATTAAGGATTTTGTTAGACTCTTCCACAGAGAACCATGAAAGTGGACCATTTTTATGAGTACATCTGTAGTTTCCAGTTTTATTCACAGTCTGGTTTACGAGCGAATGTGCAAACGCCTGTGTCCCAGGCACGGGAAGGCAGCTCACACTTGTTCTAACTGCAACACAGAATGACACTTAGCAGCTCTTTGTGCTAGGATCGACTCACATTCTCCAGAAACGTTCTCTTGCATTTTCAATGTCATCCTAGCACATTTAAGCAAAACATACTTAATTTATGTCTGGATTATTTGTAACAAGAGTTTATAATTCAGTGGGGTGCCACGACAGCTGACCTTTAATTGGATTCAAAACATTCATGATTACAGTTTAAGGACTAAGGCTTCATACCATTACAAACGGAATTTATGGGATTATATTTCTTTTCACGATGAATGCCTCTGGAACTCTGCTATTCCAGCACCAAATGGATTTTTCTATTTATATGTTGATTTGTAACACAAACTTTCTACTCTTTCTCCATATCACCAATACGGACTTATTCTTGAACCATGGGTATCTCCAATCCAATTAAGATTTTTATTTTATCATTTATTTATTCAGAGTAGAAGTTGCTCTACTGTTGTAATGAGGCTTGAAGGAATGGCGTTATCCAGGATTATCTCAGACTGTGGAGGAATATACTTTTTCTTAAAGCATAAATGAATAATTAGAATTTGTTAGAATTAGAATTTGTTATACTATTATGAAATTTATTATCAAGAAAACCTCCTTTGTAAAAGATCTATGGTAGAAGCCAGAATCCCCAGATGACTGTATTTTGCCCTGAATATATGTTGCTTTTTTATACAAATATGATACTCTTGTAAAGGAGAGAATTTTGAATTTAATGGAAGAGAATTTGAGAGTCAACTAAATTTTACCAATAAGGGGAAAAATAAATAATAAAATATTAATTAGCACTATTAATTCCACTTTATGGACAAGTCAGAGGAAAACAAGGTTATATTAAAATCCCGTATCTGCAAATAAGGTTTGAAACCATCTATTCATTTTCAAATGTTCATAAATTTTTCTGGATATTACTTTAAAGAAAAAAGTGGTATGTATGAAATAAATAAGTAACTTCTCCCCAAATACTTTTGACCACCTTAGAAATTATTCTAGTAGACTCTATCATTCAACCTTACCATTCTGTGATGATGTTAGCTGCTTTAACTTTATTCAGCTCTTCTTGGATGGCCTGTTTAGCTCTTATTTCTGCATCCAGAGCTGACTGCAACTCCAGTCTAGCTGACATATCCAATTTTGCAAAACGACGCATTTTCCAGGGCATATCCTATCAAATAATATTACTGTTGTTAGCACCATTCTATTTTTTCCTTAATGTTTAAATTCACTAATGCAAGTACATTTAGAAACTACTTAAAAGCACTACTTTCTCTGATCACAGAACAGAACTGAAACACTGCTTGTGAAAATATATTATTTTTCTCTAAATTCAGAAATTATTGTAGACCCACACATAAAGGAGTTTATTTTTTCATAATTATTATCAATAACGGCTACTATACAAGTTACAGTTAAGCAGTGATGTGTTATGACTTCCTAAACTGGCAAAGACTTGGACTAAGTGAATTCTCATGAAAAACCTTCCAGGGAACTAAACCCTAGACAAACTGATAAAAGTGTTCCGATTTATTAGAGTGTGTTGAGCCTCCCTACCCACCCCTTATGGTAATTCTCCAGGCAAAATGGCAGAACTTACTGTTGCTCGAGCACCTAAGCTGGAATTTCTCAAAGCTTCCAACTCTTCAGTCATTTTAGAAGCTAAGGCCTGGAGATACCCTCGTGCATCCTTTTCATCACTGACCCTGGAATACATACACATATAGATAAAGGACAAAAGTAACACAAACAGAAAAACCTCAGGGAGAAATACAGTGTTTTTAAAGCCTCATACAAGAAATAACTGAAATGTCTTCTTTCAAAAGGTCTGCCACAGCACTACTGCCTGACAACAAGGGGCAGAAGTTTACTAAACTGTTTCAGTTGTCTAAGAATTAAAGCTGGCCATGTTTAGGAAAGTTCAACTTACTTACACCTGATAAATTAGTGAAATTTCGCCCTTGAACCAAAGAATACTCTTTTAATCTAATATTAAAAACACACATATATACATGATTTCTAAAGAATAAGATTTCTCAGTAATTGTGTCCTGCCATTTTATCTTATGAAAATAAAACTCATCATTTTAAAAACTAAAGTACCCTATATTCAGAAAGTTTAAAGTAAAATATTCTGCAAAAATCAGGGTTGTACTGCAATAAAGCTCCTCTGTTTTCTAAAATGGTCAATAAAATACCAACCAAAAGGAAAAGATTAAAGCTTACTGAAACTCGTAACTGTCTTAAGACTATCTTGCTGATGCAACTATTATGATCCTAGATAGAAATATTTCCAATTTATATTCAATGACATTCTTTCTACATTTCAGAATTTATCAAGAGAAGGTTGTATTTTATTATATCTCCTTCAAAACAAGGACAAGACAAGGATAAGGACTGCCAGCATATGAAAATCTATAAAAGAAGGTCCTAACCTAAAGAAGAAGGAAAACAATTAGTATAAAGAAAGCTGTAATTGGCACAAAGAAAAAAAGAGGAGTTGAAGTCTGCAGTGCTTAGAAGAGTATTCTAATACACTCTGGGGAACACTATTGGCCTTTGGGAAGGCCAGCTGTTCTCATGAATACAATTGAGGCCACTGAAGAGTAATGAAGAAAGTATATTTCAGGTTTATCCATGAGTATCTGATGTATACAGCAGACAAACTGAAATCCTGAACTTGGCTTTAACATCTTTTAGAATTTCAACTCCTGAGGAGTCAAATTCATATATCTCTATTCACATATCTTAAAGAGGCCCTTTAAAAGGTATTTGGTTCTCTTTTCTCTTAGATGGGAAGGTGTACTGGAGGACAAGCAAAACAATTGAACAATAAAAGCGATACAATCATTGTAAAAAGCTGCCCAGCCTAGTTCGTTACATATCTTTAGGCTCTATATAAATGTATATATTTTCATGGCCTTTTAAAGGAAAATGATTTGAAAAAATATTGTTTGTGTAGTGGGAGGCAGTTTCCTTTAAAATTCCTTAACTTTGGATATCACAAATGACCACGACCTTTTGATTTAATCATCTGATCTACAGTATAAAGAGTAAGTGGAGATGAAGGAAGATTACCTTTTTTAGAGTACCGAGAAAGACACTTAAGAAAACTGTAGTATCATTGAAAGGGCCAGGCTAATCAGCCCAACCAGCATCACTTTAGCGCCCTACCACGGCCATGTTGGCTTATGCATCTTCCCGCAGGCTTCCTTAACTCCGGAAAGCGGTAACTCTTGTACATGCCTGTCATGCTGTTTAATGTTTCAAACCAATCTCTTGTAATTTTGTTTTTATTTGCATGCCGAATACCTTCACATTCCCTGACCCATGTGGTCTCCCCACTAAGTCTCAAGTTTTTATTAAAGCTGTATCTATTTTCTTGGCTACAGAAAATAAATGAAGAAAATGGTTTAAAAAAAAAAAAAAAAAGACAGGTCAGTTACAAACTCCTGCCAATTAAGTTCAACTGGGCCCCGGTCTCCTACAATTCCTTTTCGGAATCACTGCTATTTGTCTGTTTCCAACCTTAATCCTTAAAGTCTCACTTCCCACAGCCCAGCACTGTCTTGCCCTTTCTTCTAGGCCATCTGGATAAGCTGACTTGTGCCCATTTTAACTTTTTTTTTTTTTTTTTTAATTGTAGAGGCAAGTAAGTCCCTCACCTTTTCTTTGGCCAAGTCATGTAAGTGTATTCCTCATCCCACATATATACAAATAATTACCTTCTCTGAAAACAGCTTATGTTTTCAATTTCTTCATTTCCATTGACTACTGTAAACACATAGAGATCTATACTGGAGAATGTACCATGTGCACTTGAAAAGAATGTATATTCTGCTGTTTTATGATGGAAGGTTCTGAGTATATCTGTTATGTACCTCTGGTCCAGTGTGTCATACAAAGACACTGTTTGCTTGTTCATGTTCTGTTTTGATCATCTGTCCATTGATGTAAGTGGGGTGTTAAAGTCCCTTACTGTTATTATATTACTATTGATTAGTTTATGTTTCCTATTGTTTTATGTATTTGGGCACTCCTATGTCTGATGCATATTTATGACAGTTACATGTTCCTGTTGGATTAACCCTTTTATTATGACACAGTACCCTTACCTCTCTGTTACAGTCTTTGTTTTAAAGTCTACTTTGTCCAACAGAAGTATTGCTACTCTGGCTTCTTTCAACATCCATTTGCATGATAAATGTTTCTCCATCCCCTGCAGGTGTCTTTAGGTCTAAAGTAAGTCTCTTACAGGCAGCATATAGATGGACCTTGTCTATTTATCCATTCTGTCACACTATGTCTTTTTATTGGAGCATTTAGTCCATTTATAACCAATGTAGTTATTGACAGATATGTATTTATTGCCATTTTGTTACTTGTTTTGTGGTTGTTTCTGAAACTTTTTCTGATCCTTTATTGTCTTTCTCTTTCATGGTTTGCTCATTTTCTCTAGTGATAAATTTTGATTTATTTCTCTATTTTTTGCATGTTTATTAGTGGTTTTTGATACATGGTTACCATGAGGTTTTATATAACCTCTTCTGCATACAGCAGTCTATATTAAGTTGACAGCTGTTTAAAAGTTTGAATCCATTCTTTTCTCCTCCACTTGTTTTGGTATATGCTATTATATTTCGTATCCTCTTTTATAAGTTTTTTGACTGTTTTTTTACAACACTACTCATTTTTTACTGCTTTTCTGCTTCCTATCTTCATATTGTCACTTCTGGTATCTCCTTTCCACTGAAAGTCTCCTTTTATCTTTCTTACAGCATTGATTTAGTGGTCATGAACTCTTTAGTTGTTTGTCTGGGAAATTCTTAATCTCTCCTTCTATTCTGAATGAGAATCTTGCTGGAGAGAGTATCCTTGGTTGCAGATTTTTCCCACTCAGCACTTGGAATATATCATTATCACTCCCTTCTGCCTTGCCAAGTTTCTGTTGAAAAATCTCCTGCAAGCCTTATGGGTTTTCCTTTATATGTTACCGACTTCTTTTTGTCTTACTGCTTTTAAGATTTTTTCCTTAACAGTTTATTTTGCAAATTCAGTCACAATATGTCTTGGTGTGGGCCTGCTTTTGTTGATTTTGATGGGAGTTCTCTCTGCTTCCTGGATCTGCATGTTTGTTTCCTTCCCGAGATTAGGGAAGTTTATTGCTATTATTTCTTCAAATAAATTTTCTGCCCCCCTTCTTGCTCTTCTTCCTCTGGGACTCCAAAAATACAAATGTTATTACATTTGATGGAGTCACTGAGTTCCTTAAGTCTATTTTCATTTTGTGTAATTCTTCTTTCTTTTGTTCAGCTTCACTGATTTGTATTACCTTGACTTCTGGGTCATTAATTCATTCCTCTACTTCTTCCGGCCTGCTGTTCATTGTATCAAGTGTGTTTCTAATCTTGTTTATTGCACTCCTCCTAATTCTTTTTTAAACTTTTATCTTTGTGGTAAGGGTCTCAGTGATGTCCTCCATGGTTTTCTGAAGTCCACTGAGTATCTTTATGATCACTGCTTTAAAGTTTCCATCAGACATATTATTTATATCTATTTTGCTTAGATCTCTGGCCATGGCTTTATCTTGTTCTTTCACTTAGGATAAATTCTTCCGCCTTCTCATTTTTTTTTAAGTCTCTGCTTTCTTCTCTATGTTAGAAAAGTCAGTTATATCTCCTGCTCCTGAGAATAATGGCCTTATGAAAAAGGGGTCATGTCATGCCCAGGGCCTGATACATTAGGGAGTGTCTCAAGTGTGTGCTCCCTGTGCTCTGTTATTGTGTTTTGGTTGCTCTGTCCTTCGAGCCAGTCATCTACAGAGGGTCTCCTTGCCTGCTGTGGGCAGTGTTTGATCCCTGGCCTGAATGTAGTAAGTTTTCACTATGTTTGCTTTGGTCTGCTTGTGAAATGAGACCTATCACCACCTCCACTGGACTGGAGGCCCTGTAAAATTGCCTGGTCAGGAGACAGAGTATGGGCAAGGGTTTGTGCTAGTCTTTGGGGGAAGAAGGCACCACACTACAGCTGAGGTAAGTGTGACTGAGAAGGGCAGTTCCACCAGAGCACCTGGGGTGGGACTTGGTAGAGCCAAGTTAGGCAGCCAGTATCTTTCCACAGGTGGCCCTGTGTTTACGCTGAGGGGCCAGGGAGGGAAATGGTGCCACCAGCTCCTTTTGTTCTCAGAGAGGTCTCTCCATGAATGCTGTCTCTCTGGGCTGCACTCCAAGAAGAACAAATATAACCTCCCTGCTGTGTGCCCAGGCACTCTTCAGATTGCTGTTTCCACGCCATCTGCCCCCAGGTTGTTTGCCTGCCTTCTTTCCAAGAGCAGTGCAGTACTCTCCAGGTTCTATTTCAGCCAAGCCTGCTGACCTTTAAAACTCTAGTCTTCAATCCCTGCTGGTTCCAAGAACTCATGAAATTTAACCCCTCCCATTTTCAAGACAATGGCTATGCGTAAGTGTTCTCCTTGTGCACTCCCCTGTGTGTTCCTCCCTCTTGCCCTTCTCTGTGACTATGGGTACCTCTCTTCTGCAGCAGCCAGGATTTGTTTCTTCCCTGCCTCCACACTTCCTACCTTCTTCAATGTGGTCTCTTCTCTCTCTCTAAATGTGGAGTTTGTTTTGTCAGTCTTTTGTCCAATTTCTGGGGGTTTTAGTATGATTCGACAGTTATCTAGTTGTATTTGTGGGACGAGGTAAGCCTAGGGCCCTTCTACTCCACCACCATCTTCCTGTCTCCAGCATCCCTTCATTATTTAATATAGCAAGACTGAAAAACTCGAAAGAGTCTGAGACTTTTGCCTTGTTAGGCAGGGACAGAATGTCTCAGATTAAACATTCAAGTAAGTGAGAACTCTGAGATCAGCGAGTATACCTTTTACTTTTACCTTATTAGGTTTTAATAATTAGTTATCTAATACAGTAGCCCATATTTTTGTTTTGTTTTGTTTTTCTTAGATTTTATTTATTTATTTATTTAGAGTACAAGCAGGAGGAAGGACAAAGGGAGAGAGAGAATCTCAAGCAGACTCTGCTGAGTGTGTGGGGTCTGACAGCATGCTCGGTCTCACGACCCTGAGATCATGACCTGAGCTGAATCCAAGAGTTGGACACTTAACTGACTGAGACACCCAAGCACCCTAATATATTAGCCCATTTCTAAATAACAGTTTTATGCAAACTGATTTGCCTGCATTCCTGGTTTCTTATACACATTTCACTTGAATGTGAAAAGCCTAAAATGAGTGTTTCATGGTATCATGTAAAAACTTTCACCTTAATAATTCCTACTAACCCTTTCCAGAGAATCTACATTTAAAGCTTCTTTACTGGGATTCCTGGGTGGCTCAGTCATTAAGCATCTGCCTTCGGCTCAGGTCATGATCCCAGGGTCCTGGATCAGCAGGGAGCTTGTTTCTCCCCCTCCCACTCCCCCTGCTTATGTTCCCTCTCTCACTCTCTGTCAAATAAATAAATAAAATCTTAAAAAAAAATAAAGCTTCTTTACTTTAGTAGAAACACTTCCCATTCCATCTGAACCCATCATGCCTATTGCTGGAAAAGATCAGCAGTCTAGGAACTGGGGCTTTGGCTAGATCATCTTTTTCAGCAATAGTTTAATTATAGATTTGGTTACATAATAATTGAGTTATAAATAAAGAGTCATAATTTTTGATATTATAAGCTTGGCTAAAGATTAGAATGAATTTGCTTCAGAAATGTAGACTTGATGACAAGGACATAAATTTAACATTAATGAACCATTAATGGTACTATCCTGTTTGGGACACAACCAAATTTCCTCAATTTGTGCATTTTCATTTAGCTATGCACTGTAGAGTCACATTCATAAGCCACAGATGAGTGAACATAAGAGCTCTGTAGTTCAGTCTAATCAAAATACTTGAGTTATTTGGGTAAGATCACTTAAAAAGACAGTGTTTATCCACTTCTGATTTAAGATGGAGGGTGTTAGTCTGCAATAAGTAGGAAAATGGAAAAAATGCTTAAAGAATCAAAATAAGATTACAAGAAACTAAAATTCCCAAATGATTGGTCTATATCCATAAAGAAACTAGTTTTCATAAAATTAAACATCCATGTGCCAAAAAGAATAAGAAAGCTGAAAAGTAACTATAAAAATCTAAAAAATATGTTTTCCTTAAAAAATAAAGTCCTGTTGTGTTCAATTTCTTTCATGTTTTATAAAAATATACACATTTTTATAAATACCAGAAATATTTGATGAAATAGTGAATGTTGAAAGTCACTAAGGTAATTCATTCTACATTGAATCATAAGAACTTGAAGAATAGTTAATAAAATGAAACTGTAATCATGTGAGTTTTTATGATGACATGTGCATCAACCTTTTGTAATTATGAAAGAAGATGACAGCAGATCTTCAGGTTCAAAATTTTTCTCTAGGCTGTTTCTTAAAATAATTACAAATATAGCAATTTTGAATGATTTTCTCAGTTCTTTAAGGACCCACCGTCTTAAAATAACATTTTCTTTTCTTAGAAATAACAGCTTTCAATGAAGCTGTGGAGAGTTGACATGGGATACTTGCTGTAGTTGGGGAAAGGAAGAACATAAGAAAAAATACAGAAGGACGCAGATCAATAATAAAAAACAGGCCATTAATAAAATTATGTTCTTCAGGGAAACATTTTTCAACTGGAATTCATGAAAACTTGGCCATATGTTCGAATCACCCACAAAAAACACATTTAAAAAGAGCACTCACCACTGAATTATTTCTGTGATTTGGGCTTCCCAATGTGCAACAGATTCTTTCTTGTCTGCTAGGTCTTTTACCTCTTCTTCTAACTGCTGGTTGCGCATACTTAAGTTCTCATACAAAGTTGTGAGCTGAAAGACAGTTTTAAGACACTTGAAGATACATGTGACTTTCAAGAACAGGAATGCAAGGTGCTCAGATGCCGCCTGTTAAATCTGATTACTTACCATATTCCACTAAAAAATGCTTGTCTTCCTATTTCTTATCATATACCCTTCTGGTCACTGAATTTGGAAACATCAAATGTTCTGAATTCTCCTCTGCCTTTGCTTTCCCCTTACTCTCTATACTGAATTCTTACATTTGTGAATTTTCTCCAGTTGCCTAAAAACTCCCCAGGTTCCACTAGTAACAACATCTCTTGTCTTTGTTTGTTTGTTTGTTTCTTGGTCTGCAAATGTCTCCATGTCATCCTCTTCTTAAAATAAAATCTAATATAGAATTTCAAGTATATAGAAAAATGGACAGTATAAGTTAGTTCACATGAGCCCATGGCCAACTTCAACAATTATCACCTCAATGCCAGTCATTTCATTTGATCCTGTCTTCTTATCCCTTCCTCCTGAATTATTCTGAAGTGAATACCAGACATCTATAATTTTACCCATATATATTTCTGTGTATATCTCTTGCAAATAAGGCTCTCTCTTTCAAAAGATAACAATATAATCATACTTTAAAAATTTAATGAGTTTCCTTATATCATCACATAGGTAGTAATTATTCAAATTTCTAGTTATCTCGAAATATCAAAAAGCTTAACAGTTTATCATACTGAATCATGATACTAACAAGTAACCACAGCTTAATGGTTCCTGTATCTTGTAAGTCTCTTTTATTTATAGACTGTAGGGGTCCATTCGGGCCCCTATACTAGAATACCAGAGATTGGATAGTTGAAATATGAAACATCTATTTCTCACAGTCTGGAGACCAGAGAGTCCAAGATCAAGGTGCCAGCAGATTCAGTGTCTGGTGAGGTCTGCTCTTGGTTCACAGATGGTGGTCTTTGGCTGCGTCCTCGGAGGGTGGAAGGCTTGAGGGGCTGTCCAGGGTTGCTTTCATAAGGATGATAATCCCACCATGAGCGCTCCATCTCACTACCTAATCACCTCCCAAAGGCAACACCTCCTCCTACAATCACACTGAGGGGTAGGTTTCAACATGCAAATTTTGGAAGAACACATTCTGTCCATAGCAGTTCCCCTCCAGCACTTTTATTTTTCTTGTAATTTATTTGTTGAAAAAAAACAGGTTGTCCTGCAAAGTTTTCTGTAGTCTTAATTTCTGCTTTCATTTTTGAAAAACATTTTTTGCTGTATAGGGCATTCTAGGTTGGCAATTATCCTCCAGCACTTTGAAAATGTCATTCCTTTTTATTCCCTGTTTTGATCCCTTTTTGGATTTCATTTTTTTCTGTTGGGAAGTCAAGCTTCAGTTTAACTTTTACTCATTTGAATATAATGTGATTTTCTTCTCTGGCTGCTTTCAGGACTTCCTTTGGTTGCTGGTTTTCAGCAGTTTTTCTATGATGTCTCTAAGCGTGATGTCTTTAAGCGTGATTTCTATTTACCACCTTTAGGGTTTGTGGCATTCCTTGAATTTGTACCTAAATGTTTCTCATAAGTTTTGGAAAATTATGGGCCATTACTTCCTCAAATACTGTGTTATGTCACAGACCATCCTCTCCATCTGGGAAAGCAAGTATTTGTACATCAGATCCTTTCGTCATGTCCCCTTCTTCTTCATCCTCTTTTATGTATGTCCATCCTTTTTAATCTCTACCCATACTTTAGTCCAAAATTTTTTTACTTATTCACTGTTCTCTTCAGCTCTTTCCAGTCTGCTGTTAAAATCTTCTATTGGGTATTTTGGTTATTTTAGTTTTCACTTCTAGATGTTCTATTTGACTCTTTTGTACATATTCCAGTTACCTGCTAAAATTCTTTGTGTCTTCCATTTTCTATCATACAGTTATTTTAAAATCTCATTTATGAAAATTCTCATGGGAATCCCTGTGGGCTTGCTTATACAAACTAATTTTTTTCATTTTTTCTTTCCTTATTTTGTTTTTGCTATTGTATTTTTACTCTTGGTTTTCACTGATTTAGTTTTATCTCCTGGGATGCATGGTAACTATTTTAATGTATGCCACACATTTTGTATACAAATTTTAGGGGTAATTTGACACTCTGTATAGCATCTTCCTGCAGAGTATTTACCTTTACTTCTGGCAGGCATTTACACTCAAGATAGGTCAGGTATTGAGTTACTTGGAGGCTAGGTTTCAGTCAGTGAGAGGTTTCATCTCTTTCTGGTTCACTCATATTCCTAAAATGTAGCCTTTCAATGAGTCCAACTGAAAGCTCGTATTCACCTCTTCAAACTTGTGTGGCTATGGAATACTGTGCTCAGCTTCCTGGATCTTCGGCTACTGCTTTCGTATCAGCAAATGCCTCAAGGGGAAAAATGGCGTTGAGTGCTGGGCTCATCTCCCTGCATTACTCCTCTGCAGGATCTTGGTCAGTAATGACGGCTGCCTTCTTACCTCCCCAATGCCTTCCACAGATAAATACTGTAGGAAATAGTCCTACCATATTAGGACAATTTTTTAAAAAATCCAGTTCTTGGTGAGGTGGTGGGTATGATATAAACTAATCTGTCATAGTCAGAAGCACAAGTTCCTGCTTTAATAAGTTTTTAAAAATTTGTGATAAAATAATTACATTCAATTTTTATTTCATGGCGAGAGTTTTCTGATAAATGCTCAATCTGCATTAGTTATTACTATTCTTTTCTTGCTTTTTGGTATGTTTCTAGAAATACTGTGTTCCTGTGTTCATTTCTTTTTGATTACTCAACTTGAAGAAGATGAGTTTTTCCTAGAAAAGCTATTTACAGGTTTGTGGGGATGAGTGGTCAGGTGATGGTTAATTTTCTGTGTTAATAGAAATACTGGGCCGTAGGGTGGCAACACACATGATCAGACATTACTCTGTGTGTCTGTGAAGGTGTCTCTGGATGAGATGAACATTTGAATCAAGAGACTGAATAAAGCAGACTGCCCTCCCTAACACAGTAGGCCCAATCAGTCAGCCAAAGTCCTGGAGAATAAAAAGGCTGACCCTAGGGAGTAAGATGAATAGGAGGGAATTTCTCCTGCCTACATGCCTTCAAACTAGGAGGTTGGTTTTTCCTGCTTTTGCACTCTTACTGAAAGAGCAGTTCTTCCTGGGTCTCCAGACTGCAAACTACAGATCCTGGGACTTGTCAGCCTCCACAATCAGGTGAGCAAATCCCTTTACACATATATATGTGTTTGTGAATATGTGTAGATACATATTTGCATACATATATATGTATGTGTGTGTATGTTTAACTCAGTTACTAATAAGGCTAAAACATGTTCTAAGTCAAGGGTCTGCAAACTTTCCAGTGAGTTAGATAGTATATATTTTTGGCTTTGTGGGCCAGGCATGGGTTCCCTCACATCTTATTCTTAGAAAAACTTACTTAAAAGATATGTAAAAATTCTTCTTAATTCATGGGTCATAAAGAAACAGTCTCAGAGCTGGATCTGGCCATAGGTCACAGTGGGCCAATTCCCCCATCCAAATTGATCAGGAATCCTAATGACCCAGGGTTGTTCTCAGTTTTTGGCCTGTACTTATGTGAGACATAGACAATTTTTGGCACAAGTCACAGTGCAGTTTTATTTCTCCCCCTCTACCAAAGGAGCACAGCTGCAATTCCATGTTTAATCCTACCTCCAACCTCACTGTCTTCTCAGAAGGCAATGGGGTCCAGAGAAGCCATCGATGCCAACACATACCCTTACATGTGTATTGATAATAAGGGATTTCAGTTCTGTACCTCAAGGTGTGCCACTTAACCTCTGAAAAAGTTCTTTTTACAGACATAATTTACATACAATAAAATTTATCCATTAGAAGTGTAATGCTTCAAGGATTTTTAATAAACTTACACAGCTGTGCAACAATCACCACAATCCAATTTTGGTACAGGAGAAATTTCCCCACTGCTGGTTTGCAGTCAGTCCTAGCTCCCAAACTGAGTTCCAGGCATTGGTGATCTGTTTTCTGTTTCTATACTTTTGCTTTTCCAAGAAATTTAATACCAATGAAATCATACAACATGTAGGTTTTTTGTCTTTCACTCCCCAAAATATTGAGGTTCAACCACAGTATTGCATGTATCAGAAATTCCCTCCTTTTTTCAGCTGAGTAGTATTCTATTATATGGGTAATAGTAAACTTCATTTGCTCATTCACTAACTAGCTGATGAGCATTGGGACTGTTTCCAGTTGTTTGGTATTGTGAATAATGACGCTATGCACATGCATACACAAATCCTTAGAAGGACTCTGTTTTCAGTTTTCTTAAATATCTCCAGGAATTTCTGGGTCATGTGGTAAGGGTATGCTTACCTTTTGAGAATTTCTTAAACTATTTTCTAAAGTGGCTATATAACCACCTGATGCTCCCACAAGCAGTGTAGAGTTCCAGCTCCTCCACATCCTTGCCAACAGTTGGTATGGTCCCTTTTGTTGATTCCACTCATTCTTGATGGTGTATAGCACTATGTATCTGTGGTTTTAGCTCACATTTTCCTAATGATATTGAACATCTTTTCACTTGCTTGTCACTAATCGATCTTTCATGAAATGTCCATTCAAAATTTTCCCCCATTTTTTTCACTGGGTTGTTTGCATTATTTATTATTGGGTTTTAAGTTCTTTCTATATTTTGAATATGTTTCTTATTAGGTAAATGATTTGCAAATGTATCCTCCTTATCTGTGTATGTCCCTTACTTTTCTTAATGTTGTATTTAAATTGTAATGAAGTACAATTTATCATTATTTTTCTCTCATGGGTTATACTTTTGATTTATATAGATGAAATCTTTGACTAACCCTAAATCGTGAAAATTTTCTTCTACAACTATCTCTCGTGTTTCAGTTTATGATCCACTTTAAGTTAATGTTTTTATATGGTATACGAATTTAATTTTTTTTCACATGGATATCCAAGTGTTCCAGCACCATTTGTTGAAAAGATTATCCTTCTCCCAATGAATTGCTTTGCACTTTTGCTGAAAATCAATTGGCCACAAATATGAGGGCTTATTTTTAGACCATTACACTATGGTTCCATAATACCAAAACTACCAGTAAGTTTCAAAAGACTCTCAGGTAAATCCTCCAATTTTTGTTGCAAAAGGCTATTATAGGTCTTATATTCCCAAATAAATTTAAGGATAAGCTTCTCAATTCCAACAAAAAAGTCTTATCAGAATTTTGATGGGGATTTCCCTAAATGTATACATTAGAGGAGACTTGAAGTCCTAACAATTCCAAGTTTTTTGATCCATTAACTGTGTACATCTCTCCATTAAATTTTCCTTCATTTATCTCAGCAATGTTCTGTAGTGGTCATCCTCTGGTTAATTCCCAGAGCTCTGAAATGGTTGTTTTTTGACAGTTATGTCCACTTTGAAATTTTTTTTTCTTGAGAAGATTCATCAATCTCTTCACGTTAGCACAGACAGAAGTCTACCAGCCGTCTTTGAAAAATTTTTTGCAGATGCAATGTCTTTACTAATTAATACAACACATTACTTTTCATTACTATTGCTTTTGACAGTCCTTCCAACTAATCTGTGAGTGACGTCAGCTATAGATAGCTGCAGGAAGGAGAGGAAACGCAGCTTTTGCAAGACCATGTTACAACAGTTATAAGTAGTTTTAAGTAGACTTGCTCAGTATTAGAGAAATGCTAATCTTTTTATTATTACTAAATAAAAGCATGGACTCTGGAGCCAGACTGCATGTGTTCAAATTCCATCTGGCCACTCCCTGGTCCTCTGATTAGGAAAGGAGTCTCATCCCCCTCCCTCTGCCTCAGTCTCCTCAACCATAAAGTGGCAAGAGTAATAGTGTATACCTCACAGAGTTTTTGTGAGGATTAAATGATATATATAAAGTAACTTAGAAGAGGATCTGCACTTAGTAAATTCTACCCAAGGATTCGTTCATTTTGCTTATTTGGGAATGAGGTTTTACTATTTGTACCTTGACATATCTGGCTTATAATATGGAATAGCACAGTATAGTATAGTATAGTATAGTATAGAATATGGAAACATGATCATGACATTTTAAGTGAAAGGCATATTAGAAAATGGAATGCATGTATGACTGCACCTACGTAACTATTTACACAAACAAAACCTGGAAGGAACATATAAAGTTAAAATATTTGTTTTGTGGTAATGAGATCATGGGTAACTTTATATAATTTTTATAATTTATAATAATTTTTAATATAATTTTTATAATTTATAATATATATATTATATATATTTTTAATATAATTTTATATAATTTATATAATTTATATTTATATAAATTTATATAATTTTATATAATTTATATATAATTTAATATAAATTTAATTTAATTAATTTAAATTTAATTAAATTTAATTAATTTAATAATTTAAATTTATTATTAAAT